TGGAACTCGGCCACTCGACTGCTAAAGTGCTGTGGCGGAGGAGTCTGCGATCCAGCAGCGGACCTGGTCACACTCGAAACCTCAACGACAGGCTCTGGCTGCTGGGTCGCCTCGACTCCGAGCAGTTATTTCTCTGCCAAGGATTTTGGCAATCGCCTCCTCCTGTCCCTCCGCCTCCTACCCCTTTGCCTCCTCCGTGACCTCCTCCTCCACCTTCTCATCATCACCATCATCATCAACATCATCACTACCACCATCACCGTCACCAACACCATCACCATCATCATCATCATCAACATCATCATCACCAACCCCAGCATCATCAGCATCACCCCCATCAAGATGATCATCACCATCATCGTCATCATCAATGGCATCAACCTCATCATCATCAACATGCTCGTCATCGTCATCATCACAATCACCATCATCGTCATCATCAGCAGCAGCAGCGCCATCACCGTCATCATTTTTGTCATCACATCACCATCATCATCGTCATCGTCGTCACCATTATCATCGTCATCACCATCATCATCATCGTCATCATCATCATCATCATCAGCATCGTCATCACGATCATCATCACCATCCTCATCCTCATCATCGTCGTCACCATCACCATCATCATGATCGTCACCATCCTCACCATCATCATAATCGTGATCACTATCATCATCATCATCATCATCATCATCATCATCATCATCATCGTCATCATAATCACCATTATTATCAACATCAACACCGCCATCACCATCATCATCACACTCATCATCACCATCATCATCACCATCAACCTCGTCATTATCATCAACATGCTCAGCAACGTCATAATCGTCTCCATCACCATCATCATCATCATCATCATCATCATCATCACCACTATCACCATCATCATCACATCACCATCATCTGAAACAACATCGTCGTCACCATCACCATCGTCAGCATTATCATCAGCATCGTCATCATCACCGTCATCATCATCATAATTATCATCGTGATCGCCAACATCATCATCATCAGCACAATCATCATCACACTCATCATCCTTATTGTCAGCATCATCACCGTCACCGTCAGCATCAGCATCCTCATCACCACCATCATCATTATCATCATCAACATCATCATCAGCATCATCATCATCGTCATCGTCGTCGTCATCATCATCGTCAGCATCATCACCATCATCATCATCACCACCACCACCACTACCAGCAGCATCAGTCAGCAGCATCAGCTTCTCCTCCTCTTCCTCCTCCTTCTCCTCCTTCTCCTCCTCCTCCTCCTCCTCCTCCTCCACTCCCCCTCCGTCCGACCCTCGCCCTCGTCGCCGTCCACCTCCCGAGATGCGCCGTCACCGAGCGGGCACGAGGGGAGGGCGCGCCGCGCCCCCGGCCCTCGCGCGGCGCGGGGAGGGGGCGACCCCCCCCCACCCGCCGGGGCGCCGCTCGGGCAGGGGCGGCAGGGCGGCCAGCTCCACGCTTTGGGGCCTCGGGGGCCTCCTCGGGGCCTTCTCGGGGCCGTCGCCGTCGGCCGCTGCGACGACGACGACGACGCCGACGCCGACGACGACGCCGACGCCGACGCCGACGCCGACGCCGACGACGACGAAGACGACGATCACGACGACGACGACGACCAGGGGACACAAGCACGGCTGACTGCACCTTTTCTGCAGATGTTTGTGAACACCCCTCCCGCGCCCCCAGTGAATACTGGCGGGCTGCGCCACGATGCGTCGATCTGCCGACTGGCCGGAAATCCTGCGCCCCGCTGGCAATGCCAACCAAAACTGAATCGAGGGCAGGGGGGGCGTTCCTTTGTGCTAGCATCCTGGTCGCGCGAGTGGTGCAGAATTTTCTCCATCAAATCCTGCGCCCCGCTGGCAATGCCAACCAAAACTGAATCGAGGGCAGGGGGGGCGTTCCTTTGTGCTAGCATCCTGGTCGCGCGAGTGGTGCAGAATTTTCTCCATCAAATCCTGCGCCCCGCTGGCAATGCCAACCAAAACTGAATCGAGGGCAGGGGGGGCGTTCCTTTGTGCTAGCATCCTCGCGCGAGTGGTGCAGAATTTTCTCCATCAACCGCACCACCCTCACAGAAGTGTCCCTACGAGCCCCTTGGTAAATGCACCCAGGCAAGGAATCGAGCAGGGCAGGACTGTAGGACTGCTCAGCCTATGCCAGGTAAGGGGGTCGTGGCGGTTCTCCCCTCCGAATCATCCGCCGACCCCCGCATGCAGATGGTGAGTCGGGGACGCGCAAACATGGTTCAGCGATCCATGGATTTGGCGCGCAGCCGCCAAATCCATGGATCGGGGGAGGTGCCCTCCCTAAAATGCGGCCGGTGCCGCCTCGCTCGGCGGCGGAAATCCGCGATTTCCCATGGAAACGGGACTCGTCGTGAATCGACGCCCCCGAAAGAGGATGAGGAGGAGGAAGAGGAGGAAGAGGAGGAGGAGGAGGAGGAGAGGAGGAGGAGGAGGAGGAGGAGGAGGGAGGAGGGAGGAGGGAGGAGAGAGGAGGGAGGAGGGAGGGAGGAGGAGGAGGAGTTGATCCATGTTTTCGATCGCCTGAGTGAAAGGGCGCGGGAGACATCTGGCTGCCTCCCTCTCCCTTTCCTGCGCCCCTGGGTCCGAAGTCCCAGAGCAAGGGGGGGGCAGGTGGGCAGGTGGGGACAGGCACGAGCTTTAAATCGGGCGTGTCCCCCATACAGGGGGATCTTGGACAACAGAAATCATGAAGATACGCTAAAATATGCACAACTAGTAAAAACAGATTGAAAAATCGTCCCCACACTATTTTTTTACCATTCTTGTTCCTCCTGTAGAGCGACAAGCCCGACTTGACACGAGCTCGTCAACGCACCTCTGGGGCCCTCGACGCCTCCAAATTCACCGCCCGTGGTCGAAAGGATGGTCAACATGCAATCTGAGAAGGCTCCCAAAGGGCTCCACCACGCCGGAGAGGCCTCAAGAGCACCCAAGATGGCCTCAAGGCGGCCCCAGACGCCCCAAGGGGGCCCCAAGAGGCGAAAGTCAGGGATTCCCACCATTGTTTGCATGACTTGTTGCGCTTTCGATTTTTCGGGCTTCTGGAAGCCGAAGGCGGCCCGAGAAGCCCCCCACACCGGCCTACGATGGCCCAAGAGGGCGCCAAGAGGGCCAGGAGGCCATCAATACGGCCGAAAAGGCGATCACGAGAGACCCTGAGAGGGCCTACGAGAGGCCAGCATGGGGAACATCCAGGGGCCTCAGAAGACTTCCCCCACAAGATTCATGTCGGGCCTGTCCCCCTACAGGGGGATTGTGGACGAAAAATTACAAATACTCAAAAAATACCCCCCAAAGTGTCAAAACTAGTAGAAAAATCATCCCCAGACTACTTTTTAAACTATTTGTGAATATTCCCCCTGCAGAGGGACACGCCCGACTTAACACAATATTGCCCCCAAGACACCCAACATGGCCGCAAGTGGCCCCCTGCAGTCGGAGCGATCGGCCTGCAGGCGAGGTGCCGTGGGGGCACTGCAGGGGGGGCGCTGGGGCGCCGCCGATTCAGGGCGGCGAAACAACGCAGCAGCAGGACATGTGCTGTTGCCCAGGAGGAGGAGCGAGGAGGAGGAGGAGGAGGAAGAGGAGGAGCGAACGAACCCCTGATGGAGGAAGAGGAGGAGGAGGAGGAGGAGACGAGGAGGAGACGAGGAGAGGGACGGAAGAGTATTACCCGCGCCTCCCAGGCCTGCTGTGAGAATCCAGATTCCAAAGTCTCCTGCATTCCCACTTGCCCCCAGAGCACAGAAGGCCCCCAACAGCTCCGGGCGCCCTGCAAAGGCTCCCAGGAGGCCGCCCCATGGGCCACCGGCCAAGAGCCCTCCCAGAAGCCCCGCCGCAAGCGCCGAGGAGGAGGAGGACGAATCGGCAGCACCTGCACGCGGGCAGCGCTGCGGGAAGCGGCACACCACCAAGGCGAAGCCAGGACGGACACGTCGGGGATCTCGGGGATCTGACGGTTCTGGGGGGATGCATCGGGCGCCGCGGCCTTCTGAGAGCGTCCGGGAACGCTCCGAGAGCGTCTCGGGACGCTCTTTGTCTTGCTTTGCTTTCTTTTGTGAAGGCTCCGAGGGCGAACTATCCCTCTCCTGGCCCCGCACGAAGCGCCCGCCACATCGGGGGCCGCACATCCCCTCCTCTGGGGGCCGGCGGCATGGCACGCACGCCTGCTGGGGCAAGAGCCCGCGCCCCCGCGCAGGGGGGGGGGTGCTGGGCCTGTTTGCCACCACCACCACAACCATAAGCTGGAGGGGGGAAGGATGCGTAAGACGAGGGGGAGGAGGAGGAGGAGGACGACGAGGAGGAGGAGGAGGAGGAGGAGGAGGAGGACCCCCTCCCCATCCAACTGATGGTGCTGGTGGTGGAAAACAGGCCCATCAGGGGGGGGGAGGGCGCGGGGACGCCACCCCCGCCGACGGCCCTGAACACCGACCCCCGCCGCGGAGGAGCCTCGCGCTCCGAGGTCGCGCTCCCGCGCTCGGGGAGCCCCCAGGCGGGGTGGTGACCACACCGTGCGGCGAGTCGGTGGGGGTTCGGGGTCAACGCACGGTCCTGGGACTCGAGCCCCTCTCCGAGGACGTCTCGGGGCGACAGGGGCCTCCAGGGCCCCAAGGCCGCGCGGCGACGCACCGCGCGGCGAGGCCTTGGGGGATCTCGAGGTCGCCGCACGGTCTGTCGCCGCACCGTCTCGGGACTGTGGACGCGCTCCGCGGCAAGGATGCAAGGGCCTTGGAAGGCCATGTCGACACTTTGCGAGCGGGGCGCGGCCGGCGAAAGTCGCTGAGGATGGACCGAAGGCACGGATGCAAGGATGCAAGGGTACCCCTGGCACGGTTGCCCATCCTCATTATGCGGGTTGACTGTACTGAGCCCCGAAGCGACCAGACTGGATCCTCGATCCTTGAGCCACGCCGGCGACTCCCCCGGGTGCCCGCCCCGCCTTGGCGGGCGCGTCGTCGGCAGGCTTCTGCGCACCTCTCCTCGGCGAGGCTGATCTCGACCGCGACCTGGAGCGCGATCTGGATCTGTCCTGACGGCGACAGCAGTGCGCAGCCTCTTGGCGACGACAGCGGGCCCAATGAGAGCGCTTCGGAGGCGAAGTGCTCCCCAGGCGAACGGCTAGTGTCGCGCGCGCGTCTTGCGCGCACTGCAATCATCGCGCTGCCATAACGACCGCTGGCAAAAGAAACGAAGGATGTGTCTTGCCACCGCGAGCTTCGGCCTCATGTAGGCCCCGACCTGGAGCTAAGGAACGACCCGAAAACCGGAGCTCCTCCTGAACCTGAAGTGGTCCGTATTGCACCAGTCCTCTGCCGAGTCTCTTCCATCGAGGCGCGTAGGTCTACCATTGGCGGACACACGAGGGACCAGACTCGAGCTTTCCCCTGGGGCTGCCAAGGCGCCCTCACGAGGCCCTCAGACCCCGAAGAAGCCGCCAGGTGGCCCCCTCGATGCCCCCCAAGAAGCCCCTGGCGGGCAAGCGAGAAACAGGACTCATGTTGCGTTTGCTTGTTGGGGCACGCCAGACGCTGAATCACAATCCACAAGTGGCCCGGACGTGGCAAATGCCAAGGCGAGAGGGTCCGTCGGAATGTCCGAACATGTTCCGAGTAACACACAGGATATACAACACGGAGGGGGCTGAGAGGGGGGGGAGGAATTCCTCCGACGGCAGGGCCCCGCACGAGAATCTATGTCAGTGGCCTCAGTCCCCGTCGTCGCCCCTGCGATTGGGGAGGCCCTGTTCCGCTCTCGTCCTCCTCTTTCATTGTCATCCTCCTCCTACCTCCTGACTGACTGCCTTCTCACTCTGCCTGACGGTACAGCCATCAGACGAAATGATCCGAATGCTCAGAACGCGTCCACGCGAGCCGACCAAATACATATAACACTGGGCTGGGAGAACAGGTGCGGCCAGAACTCCTGGTGGTTGTTGTTGCTGGCGGACGCCCCTCCAACAACCGCTCCTGCCCAATGCCGCGTGACTCCAACCTCCAAATGTCGGGTAAGCATGTTTCTCTTCCACCGCACGTTCACACATGCACTGAGTTCCTGGCGCTGTCGTGTCATGCCGCGCGTAATCATACACGTGCACGCAAGGCCCGTTCGCGCGCACGCACGTGCGTGAACATGCTAGCCATGCTCAACTGCGCCATGCTGCGGGAGGTGGCTGGGTGATGGCGTGTCCATGCAGACTAAGCTCCGCCGACAACCAGCCGCGAGTTGCAGCCGCTCCGTGGTGCGAGGATGCCCTGGCCAGAGCGCTGCACGCAGCGAGCGGGGACGGCCAACAATGCTTCTGCGGTGGCACTCCTGACTGCGGGCCCCGTCGCTCCCTTTCCCGCGGCTCGCCCCCCTCCCCGCCGTCGGCGCCGAGACGAACGAATTCAATCACGCCCTCGCCCACGGGCCGCCTGCGCGGCAAGAGCGCCGTGCAGTGGGGAGAGGAGCGATGGGGAACTGGAGACACAAGGGCGAGAGAGCGGAAGCAACGACCGCGGACTGGTGATAGTGACGAATGCACCATGGCGGATCTCAGCGCTAACGGGATTGGGGCACGGTGGGTCCGGGTCGTGACGACGTCGGCGCTGCTAAGTCTGACGCCGCACGGATCGTTCAACCTGGCAGGATGAATCGGCATCCGAATCGGGGAATCAGATCGAATCGAAATCGAGCCGGGCCAGTCCGCATCGGTACGGAGTCGGAGTCGGATCGAACCGCCCGCGCCCAAATGCGCCACAGCGCCTCGGACATGGAGGACCGCCTCTTCGTCGCAGCGCGGCAGGGGCAATCCGCACGCGCGCTCTGGTAATTAGCCAGGGGCGCGGCGTGCGAATTGTCCGGCGGCACGAGGAGGGGGGGGGGGAGGAGGAGGAGGAGGAGGAGGAGGAGGAGGAGGAGGAGGAGGAGGAGGAGAGGAGGAGGAGGAGGAGAGGAGGAGGAGGAGGAGGAAGGAGCATGAGCGAGGAGAGGAGGAGGAGGAGGAGGAGGAGGAGGAGGAGGAGGAGGAGGAGGAGGAGGAGGAGGAGGAGGAGGAGGAGAGGAGGAGGAGGAGGAGGAGGAGGAGGAGGAGGAGGAGGAGGAGGAGGAGGAGGAGAGGGAGGAGGGGGGGGAAGGAGACGGAGGGCGGCCGCAGAAAGCGGGCGGGGGGCGAGGGCACTCACCGCACGAAGAGCTTCGGGAAGAGTGGCTGGAGGGGCCGTCCGTTGCTGAGGCGTCTTGGCAGCGGACGTGGATCGGCATCGCGCCCACAACCAGGGGCCGAGGCGAGGGCTGCAGGCGCTGAAACCGTAGAGCCAGTCGAAACAGTACAGTAGGGGAGCGGCGAGCGGTTCCACTGAGGCGGGCCGCATCTGCTGCGGACGGCGGCGGCGGGATGCGAACGCCAGCGACCACGGGGGCTGGCCGGCGACCAGCTCGCGGCAAGATGCTGCTCAGCTGCCGCGCCGAGCTGCTGAGGGCCACGCGGCAAGACAGCTGGCCGCAACGCCGCTGAGGGCGACAAGCAGGGCTGCCAAGCGCCGGGGGCTGCCGAGCGAAGCACCGTCTGCAGACCCAGACCCCCGACGTCATGAATTCTTCATTACATCGACCCCCAGAGGTCTCGACCCCTTCCCCAGGACCGGTTTCTCATCCTGCGTCGTTTTTGGACGGTCCCGAGGCCCGGTGAGGGCCCCTGGAGGCCGAAAATTCGGAAAAGCCTCCCGTCATGATTTGTTCATTGCCCGACGGGGGTCTGGGGAGGTGGCGCGGGCAGCGAGGAGCCGCCAGCCGCCGCCGGGAGCGCCCAGCGGGCAGGGAGAGCCGACCCCGGCCGGCGCACGCACCACAGCCGGGTCCGGCGGGGACGCGCAGCCACAGGGCTGGCGCGGCGGGGGCGCCCAGCTGCAGGAGGTAAGTTGGGCCTGTCCCTCTACAGGAGGAATGCTCAGAAATAGTCAAACAATAGCTTGGGGGCGATACTTTTTTCTACCTATCGTGGACTATGTTTGAACATTGTTTTGCATATTTTTCTATCTTTCGTCCAAAATCCCCCCTGTAGGGGGACATGCCCGACCTACTGCAGGAGCAGCGGGGCAGGGGCGGGGCAGGCGGCCTACCCGGCAGGTGCGAGCAGCACAACGGGGAGGCCCCCAGGCCGCCTGGCCTCGGAGCCAGCCGGGCGCGGGCGTCCAGCCGGGGCAGGGAGAGGAGGAGGAGGAGGAGGAGGAGGAGGAGGAGGAAGAGGAGGAGAGGAGGAGGAGGAGGAGGAGGAGGAGGAGGAGGAGGCTCAAGATCAGGGTACCTTCGACAAGGAACCCTGGCTCTCGCGACCGATGGGCGGCCATACGCCACGCCTCGAGACAGTGAGGAATGCGCCAGGGTCTGGGCCCCAAGAAGACGCTCCTCATTCAATGCCGCCGCCGTAGAGGTGCAAGCAAGTGCATAAGCATACACTCGCGGAGGTCCGCTCGGACTTTTTCATCTGCGCTGGAACCCCCTCACTGGCGCGCAGAGCGCGCCAGGGGCGGCGCCGGAGGCGCCGAAGGATGGGGACCTAAAGACAACAGGCCTCAAACAATGCAAATCCAACCTGGGACCCTTTCCTATCCTGGACAAGCGCGTTCCACTACTCGCAGAGTAACTACTCGCAAATGGCTCGGATCCGCCGCGGGGGATTTGCGATACACTACGTAGAGGACATACTTTTCTCGGGCCCCTGCGAGTAGGCACCCTGCGAGTAGTGGAACGCGCTCGGTGATATCCTCAGGGCCCCATCCTTCGGGTGTTGCTAGAAGTACCCCTGGCCCAAGGTGCTCCTAGGGTTCTCGGGGTGGCCCAGACGGCCTCCAGAGCATCCCTCACGTGGCCCAGAGGGCCCCCCGTGGCTCCACAGTGGTGCTGGAAGCTTGGGGCACCTTGGGCCAGGGGTACTTCTAGCAACACCCGAAGGATGGGGCCCTGAGGATATCACCGAGCGCGCTCCACTACTCGCAGGGTGCCTACTCGCAGGGACCCGAGAAAAGTATGTCCTCCTCTTCTACGTAGTGTATCGCAAATCCCCCGCGGCGGATCCGGGCCATTTGCGAGTAGTTTCTCTGCGAGTAGTGGAACGCGCTTGTCCAGGATAGGAAAGGGCCCACTTCGAGTCGGCTCGATCGGGTCGACGGCGGCGCCGCCCCGAACCTTCGAGGGGGCCCGCCGCAACGCGGCCCCCGCCGCGCCAGACGCGGCGCGGCCTGACGCCCGCTGGGTCGCCCGCCTTCGCGCCTCGGGCCTCGCGCCTCGCGGCGCGCGATCCTCCTCCGCCTCCTCCTCCTCGTCTGCCTCCTCCTCCTCCTCCTCCTCCTCGTCCTCGTTCTCGTCCTCGTCCTCGTCCTCCTCCTCCTCCTCCTCCTCCTCCTCCTCCTCCTCCCTTTCCTCCTCCTCTTTCTCCTCCACCTCCACCTCCTCCTCCTCCTTTTCCTCGTCCTTCTCCTGCCCTTCCCACTGCTTCTTTCTCCACATCCACCTTCTCCTCATCCTCTTCCTCTTCCTCCTCCTCCACCACCACCATCACCATCATCATCATCATCATCATCATCATCATCATCATCATCATCATCATCATCATCATCATCATCATCATCATCATCATCATCATCATCATCATCATCATTATCATCATCATCAGCAGCAGCAGCATCATCAGCATCATCATCAGCATCAGCATCATCATCATCATCAGCACCAGCATCATCATCAGCAGCATCATCATCATCGTCATCGTCATTGTCATCACCATCATCATCTTCACCATCACCATCACCATCACCATCACCATCATCATCATCATCATCATCATCATCATCATCATCATCATCATCATCATCATCAGTGTCATCATCATCATCATCAGCAGCAGCAGCATCATCAACAGCAACATCATCATCAACAGCAGCATCGTCACCAGCATCATCAACATCATCACCATCATCATCAGCATCAGCATCAGCATCAGCACCGTCATCATCATCATCATCAGCAGCAGCAGCAGCACCATCATCATCATCGTCATGATCAGCATAATCATCATCAGCATTATCATTAGCATTATCAGCAGCATCAGTAGCATCAGCATCAGCATCAGCATCATCAGCATCATCATCGTCGTCATCATCATCAAAACCATCAGCATCGCCATCATCATCGTCAGCATCATCATCATCAGCATCACCATCAGTATCAGCAACAGCACCATCATCATCACCATCGTCATTATCAGCATCATCATGATCACTATCATCATCATCATCATCATCATCATCATCATCATCATCATCATCATCATCATCAGCATCATCATCACCACCACCACCATCATCATCATCAGCATCATCATCATCGTCATCATCCTCATCCTCATCCTCATCCTCATCATCTTCTTTCTCCTCCTCCTCCTTGTCCTCCTCCTCCTCCCCCTCTTCCTCCTCGTCTTCCTCCTCCTCGTTCACGTCCTCGTCCTCCTCGTCCTCCTCGTCCTCCTCCTCCTCCTCCTCCTCCTCTTCGCGCCCTCGCGCCGCCCACTTGTCGGCGGCGATCCCACGGGGGGGGAAGTCAGGGGGGCAGGGCTTCCCAGCAGGCTCGTCAGGACTCTGGCCTCCTTTCAGCTGCTCCAGGCCCTCCCCGCAGACACAAGCGGCTCCTCACAAGGCCGGCGTGCTTCTGAGGAGCATCCGTGTCAAGGTGCGCGCAGGTGCATCAGCAGAGCGAGAGAAGACATCACCGCCAATCATCATCATTCCCCGCAGACAGAAGCGGCTCCTCAGAAGGCCGGCGTGCTTCCGAGGAGCGCCGCCGCCCTCGGAGCAGGCCCGGCCCCGCTCGCCTCCCCCCTCGGCGCGCCGCCGAACCCGGGGGGCGCGCCGCCGCTCTGGGCGAGGCCGCGGCGCGCGGAAGGCGCGGTCAGCCTCGCTGCTGGTGCTCTCCCAGGCCGTCCACCTTCAGAGGCCTCTTGGGTGGGGTCGGAGTAGATGGGGTCGAAGGATCGCCGATGCATCGGCGATGCACTGGCGAGGCACCGTCGACGTCGGCGACGCATCGACGACATCGACGACGCGAAGAAAATCGGGCTGCACATCGAGCCGCACCGGAGATGCATCGGCGATGCGGCGCGATCCTCCGACCCCATCTAATCTGCTCCGACCCCATCCAGGAGGCCTAGAACCCTGCGGGCCTTTTCGACGCGCGCTCGTTCTACCACCCCGCCACGCGAGCCAGGTTCCTCGTCCTCGAGCGGAGCGGGGAAGGACTCACACGGACCGAGGGGCTTCCCCAAACCCAGGCGGGAATAACCGTTCGAAACAACGTGCGCCGAGTGCAGGGTGTACCACGCGTTTTCGCTCGTCTCGGCCTCTGGGGGCCCGCGCTGGGCCTGGGAACGTCAAGCAACGATTCAGGATGAAGAAGCGGTCCCGTGGAGGAGGTCTATGATTACCCCCAGGGGCCCCAGGGGTCTGGATCCCTCTCGCTGCATGAGAGCACTGAGGCCCGGCGTCGCAGACAAAGACATACAACATCGAGAGGAAATCACGGCCGAAGCCCGAGCCCATCCTGCGGCAGCTCTCGAGCCGGATCGATCCGAGACCGGGCGAAGGCGCCCGGCGCGAGAAGAAGTGGAAGCGCCCGGGTCTCAGGGAGGGAGGTGGCATCACGCTCTCAGGCCAGGGGATAACTCCCCATCCCTCCTGGCCCAAGGCACAGTGCACCGATGCTGGCGTGAGGTCGGGCATGTCCCCCTACAGGTGGATTTTGGGCGAAGACTAAGAAGTACGCAACAAATGCTCCCAAATAGTCGACCAAATACAAAAAAGACTTCCCCATACTTTGGGGGGGAACTATTTTGGAATATTCCTCCTGTAGGGGAACAGGCCCGACTCAATCTCAGGCCAGGGGATACCCCCCCATCCCTCCTGGCCCAAGGCACGGTGCACCGATGCCGGCGGCCGACAAGCGGCCCGGAGCGGGAGGGCCTGCTCTCCTAGAGGAGCCAGAAGCAGATCCCCAAACGGGATTGCTCGGAGGTCCGCGCGGCGCTCTCGGCTCGGCGCTGGGCCCCCTCTGCGCGCCAGGGGGGGCCCAGTGCCGATCAAAGACGTCCGCGCGGAGCTCCAAGAGTTTCTCTGGCCAGGGGATCCCTCCCAAGACCTACTTCCAAACATGCGACGTCCTGATTTTTTCTGGACGGCGCCCCCGGAAGTCCCGACCCTTTCCCCGGAATTGATTTTCGGTTCTGAGTCGTTTTTTGACGATCCCGAGGCCCGGCGAGGTCTCCCCAGGGCCGAAAATATTGTAAAAACACACGTCCTGTTTTTTTTACGACGCGATCATTTCTGGGCTCCTGGCACGACGCAGAGCGCGCCGGCCCTGGCGGCAGAAACGCGGCCGGGAGAACCTGCTCCGGGGATCGCCGGGACAGGTTGGGCCCAGCATGTGATGCTCTGGAGCCGCGGGTTGGGGCGAGGCAAAAGTCTGCGGGCTGCCACATGGGCGCTGTGGTCGGGTGCGGGCGAGACGCCCTCGTCCACCACCACCTCCTCCTCCTCCTTCCCCTCGTCTGGCTCCCTCCTCCCCTCCCCTGCTCGTCCTCCTCCTCCTCCTCCTCCTCCTCCTCCTCCTCCTCATCTTCATCCTCCTCCTCATCCATCTCCTCATCCTCCTCATCCTCATCATCCTCCTCACCCTCCTCATTCTCCTCATCCTCCTCATGATCATGATCATGATCATGATCATGATCATGATCATGATCATGATCATGATCATCATGATCATCATCATCATCATCATCATCATCATCATCATCATCATCATCATCATCATCATCCTCATCCTCATCCTCATCCTCATCCTCATCCTCATCCTCATCCTCATCCTCATCCTCATCCTCATCATCATACTCATCAGAATTATCATCATCATCAACATCGTCATCATCATTATCAGCAGCAGCAGCACCATCATCATCATCGTCATCATAAGCATCCTCATCATGAGCAGCATCATTATCAGCATCATCATCATTATGAGCAGCATCATCATCATCATCATCATCAGCATCATGATCATCATCGTCGTCATCATCACCATCAGCAGCGCCATCATCATCGTCAGCATCATAATCAGTATCATCATCATCATCATCAGCAGCATCATCATGATCATCCTCATGATCATCATCATCATCATCATCATCCTCATCCTCATCCTCATCCTCATCCTCCAAATCCTAATCCTCCTCCTCCTCATCATCGTCAGCATCATCATCAGTATCATCATCATCAGCATCATCATTATCATCCTCATGATCATCATCATCTTCCTCATCCTCATCCTCATCATCCTCATCCTCATCCTCCTCATGATCATGATCATGATCATGATCATGATCATGATCATCATCATCCTCATCCTCATCCTCATCCTCCTAATCCTAATCCTCCTCCTCCTCCTCACCATCACCATCACCATCACCATCACCATCACCATCACCATCACCATCACCATCACCATCATCATCATCATCATCATCATCATCATCATCATCATCATCATCATCATCATCAGCATCAGCATCATCATCATCATCATAATCAGCATCATCATCAGCATCATCAGCATCATCATCATCACCATCATCTTCCTCCTCCTCCTCATCATCATCAGCAGCATCAGCATCAGCATCAGCATCAGCATCGTCATCAGCAGCAGCATCATCATCAACAGAATCACCACCATCAACCGCATCAGCATCATTACCGCACCCACGACCATCATCATCATCGTCATCATCAGCAGCATCACCACCACCATGATCAGCATGCTCCTCATAATCATCACTATCAGCATGAGCATCGCTATCATCATCACCATCATCACCATCATCATCGTCATCATCATCATCATCATCGTCATCATCATCATCAACACCATCATCATCATCCTCATCATCATCAGCATCATCATCATCATCCTAATCATCAGCATCATCATCATCATCGTCATCATCGTCATCATCACCATCAACAACATCATTATCATAATCATCATAATTCCTCCTCTTCCTCCTCTTCCTCCTCCCCCTCCGTGCTCTTCTCGTCATCCTCCCTCTCGCCTTGTTTCCTCGTCTTGCGAATCCTCTTTCTCCTCCTCCCCCTCCACCTCCTCCTCCTCCCCCTCCTCCTCCTCCTCCTCCTCCTCCTCCTCCTCTTCCTCCTTCGCCTCCTTCCCCTCGGATGCCACCTCCTCCTCCTCCTCCGCCTCGTCCTTCCCCGCGCCCGGCCGCTCCGTTGCTCGTCGCGTCTCTCTCTCTCTCTCTCTCTCTCTCTGCCGCCGCTCGTGCAGGCCTCGCTCTGCGTGCACCTCGCGCCGGTTGCGCTTCACCGTGCCGTGCTCGTTGCTCCCACAGTGCGCGCCCTTCGCCCCGAGCTGGGACAAGCCTTCGGCTCTTGCTGCGGTCCCGTGCGCCTCAGCCTCCCCTCGGCGGCTGCAGCGGGGACGCGAACCGTGGATGCCTGGGGCTCCGTTGGCCCGTGTCTTACGCGGGGCTCCTCGGCGAATGCGCGCACTGCCCCCCACCTTCAGCTCCTCGGTCCTCGGTCCTCGGTCCACGATCCTCGGTCCTCCTCCTCCTCCTCCTCCTCCTCCTCCTCCTCCTTCAGTGCTGCGTTCCATTCTTTCCCCCTCCACCCTCCACTCGGTCCTCAATATCCGTCCTCTTCGATCTTCTTCTCCTGTCCTCGCGGCGTCGTCGTGGTCGTCGGCAGCGTCGTCACCGTCGTCGTCGGAGTCGTCGTCGGCGGCGTTGTCGTCGGCGGCGTCGTCGTTGGCGCGGCGCGGCGCAGTGAGGGGCGGCCGCCTCACCAGAAGCTTCGGGGAGGTCGGCGTGGCGAGCTCGAAGAGGTACAGCGCGTCCTCTGGGTTCCGCCCCGCTCGGCTGCGCGCAATGAGCAAGCAGCAACGACCTCTGATGCGCGACGACGGAAACGGCGACGACAACGCCGCCACCGCTGACGACCAACGAGATAATGGTGATGGTGATGGTGGTGGTGATGGTGATTGTGGTGGTGATGATGGTGATGCTGATGGTGATGACGCTGCTGATGATGCTGCTGATGATAGTGATGTTGGTGCTGATGCTGATGCTGCTGGTGACAGGCTGATGGTGACGGTGGTGATGGTGACGATGATGATGATGATGATGATGATGATGATGATGATGATGATGGTGATGTCGATGATGGCGATGATGCTGATGATGGTGATGATGGTGATGATGGTGCTGACGGTGCTGATGGTTCTGATGGTGATGATGTTGATGAGGATGATGATGATGATTATGTTTGCATTGATGATGATGGAGTTGAAAATGATTATGATGATGCTGATGGTGATCATGATGATGCTGGTGATGATCATGATGATGTTGATGATGAGGCGGAGGAAGGTAAGGAACACTAAGATAGTGGTGGTGCTGCTGCCGCTGCTGCTGCTGATGGTGATAATGGTGATGATGATGATGAGGAGGAGGATGATGATGATGATTAGATGGTGATGAGGGTGCTGATGGTGATGATGGTGATGATGATGGTGATGATGGTGATGGTGCTGATGGTGCTGATGGCGCTGATGGTGCTGATGATGATGGTGATGGTGGTGACGATGATGATGAGCATGATGATGATGAGTATGATGATGATTGTGATGATTATGATGATGATGATGATGATGATGATGATGATGATGACGATGATGATGACGGTGATGATCATCATCAAAATCATGATGCCGACAATGATGGTGATGGATGATGATGATGAGGATGATGATGATTACGATGCTGATGATGATGACCACGATGACGCTGCTGATGCTGATGCTGATGCTGATGCTGCTGCTGCTGATGATGATGTTGAGGCGAAAGAGAGTAAGGATAATAAGGATGGTGGTGATGGTGGTGGTGATGATAAGCAGCGTCGCGCTTCTCAGAGGCAGCAGCGACCTCTTGAGCGAGGCCTGCAGATCGGTGCAGCGCAGTGCGGCGGTGACGGCCTGCGCACCCGTCCTTGCCCACCCTCCCGTCAGCGGGGGGTCAAACGGCGGGGCCTGGCTCATGACGGGGAAGAAAGCGGCCTGGAATCGACGATGCATCGCTGGTATATTTAGGTCGGGCATGTCCCCCCCCCCACAGGCGGATTTGGGGCGACAAATGGAAAATACTTACATAATATATAAAAGCAAAACAAAACAAAAACAAATCCCCATATCAATGTTGGATTATTTTCTAATATTCCTCCTGTAGAGAAACACGCCCGACTCCATGATATATATATATATATATATATATATATATATATATATATCTTCTCCTAGGTTTGGGAACTCCCCCGACCCCCCGAATACCGCGGAGTGGCGACAGCCTCAGAAGACGACGTAGAGGAATGCCTGTCTCTGTACTGTTTTCACCACGATCGCTCGAATCAGAACGTTTTGCACCTGGTCGTATTTCTGGGCGCTCGCCCAGCAGGAAATCGAACAGACAGGCGAGCCGTATGCAATACTCAAGAGCGCTCTGCTAGAGAAAGGGAGTGGCGGGCGGGCCACACAGCTACAGAACAAAGAAGGGATCGCACCGTTCTATCAAACTTCAGAAGAAACACGTGCTGGCACTGCTTATCTTCTCCTAGGTTTGGGAACTCCCCCGACCCCCCGAATACCGCGGAGTGGCGACAGCCTCAGAAGACGACGTAGAGGAATGCCTGTCTCTGTACTGTTTTCACCACGATCGCTCGAATCAGAACGTTTTGCACCTGGTCGTATTTCTGGGCGCTCGCCCAGCAGGAAATCGAACAGACAGGCGAGCCGTATGCAATACTCAAGAGCATAATGCAATCTGGTACTCTGGGTAGGGTGGGAGGGTCATACCAGCAACTTAGACATATTCTTGGTAAACAACGAACCATTGCTGGCATCAACAGCTGCTGACATTCGGGAACACAACCTCCAGGGATAGGGCTCCGCGATTTTGGTCCAAAAAATCCCCTTCTCATTCTTGCCTTCCAGGGTTTGATGGGCTCGGTGAGTGCGGCAGCATATCCCATTAACTGATGTGCACTGGCGAACCACACGAGATAAATCAACGTGTGTGGTCATCAAACGTGTTCTCTTCCTCCAAGGCTTACCGTCCATGCAAAAGTCTGTGCACTCTGAGCGCACATCCTCACGTGCGATCAGCTTCACAAATTGAGGAAGGTACCACAAGATAGAAGTGTGCGGATTCTCCAACGAGCATGGGACACGTCGGAGGCGACAACGCTCAAAAACTCGAGCTGAGAGGTCGGCAAGCTGGTTGCCAACCTTCACTTTGTCACTGTCGGCTGCCGATAGAAGGCCGTCAAGCCCCCGGGGGCGGTCTGAGCTGCGCAGAGCCCCTGGGCCGTCACCACGGCCCCGGGCACGAGAAAAGGTACAGCAAGGCGTACCAAGGTGCACGGCCCAGATCGCCCCTGAGTTGAGGAGCTGGAAAAACAACTTGACGAGGTGTGGATTCGTGGCGTCACTTTGGGGCCCATGAATCACATCAACTTCAATCGTCACGTATCCTCTCTTACGCATTGCTGAAGACCACTTGCCTGAGCCTGAGAAAAACTCCACTGCCACTCGAGGTAGACGACGTTGCCCAGCACTCACGGCAGCTCTAAGGGATTCGAACGCTTCAAGAGGACATCTCCGATTTTCTTCCAGGCGTCGTCGCAGAAGCCCCGCACCGCGACAGGCAGCGCGGCGATCTGCTCGTTGATGCGGTTCTGCTTGCCGTAGCGCCTGACGGAAGAGTCCGCCGACCAGCGGCCACGAGCCTTGACCTCGGCCAGGCGGCGGATCCGCTGGGCCAGGTCGTAGCTGGGTCCTGCGTGGCGCAGCTGGTGCGCCACTGGCGGCTTGGGCAGACCCAGCCGCTCGCCCGCCATCTTGAAGACCATGGGGAATGAGCGGCCGCCGAGGTCGCCCACCACCAGCTCGTCGAGGCGGGCCCCCCGCTTCGCCTTGGCATGCATTACCGACATCACCTGATTGAGGAAACTGAGATGGCCGTCTGCGTCGATCGATATGTTCTCGTCGAACTCCTCTGCCTTCGACTGGACGCCGTCCTCCCGGGGGTGCAACGTCAGACACCACCCGTCGGTCCCTCCTCGGCCTGCCCCGCATGGCGGGGACCAATGCCTCCACTTCATGCGCATCAACTCCGACGGCCTGAGGTAGAGGTGGAAGGCCAGGAGGCTCCCGAAGGCGGCGAGGGGGAAGCCCAGCGAGCACAGCACCATTGCCAGGCCGAAGACCACCGTCGCTGGGATCGGCAGCCGAGAGGCCGCCGGAGAGAGCTTGCTGAAGCCCACCAGCGCTCGGGCAGTCTCGGGCAAGGACTGGCCCCCCTGGCGACCAAACTGCGGGAACTTCCACCGGATAGCCGCCACTAGAGTGTTCGCTACGCCACTCAGCTCCCCCTCGAAGTAGAGGTCGTCGAGGTGGCACTTCAGCTTCTGGTCCAGCACCTTCGGTGTGCGGGCCAGTGCGTGGAGGTCCCTGATACTCTGATCCTTCACGAACCGGTCGAGCGCTGCCTTGTACTGCTGCTGCACTGTCCGAGAGACACTCCCCTGCTCGAGGAAGGACCGGCCCACGGCCTGGAGACTCCTCCTCTCGAGGGCGTGCAGGGAGCGCCTGGCCTTCTTGCGCTCCTCCGCGTCGGGATGCGACTTGCTGGTCTCGATGGCCGTCCTGCTGGGCTGCGCGGCGGCCGGGCGCTTCCGCGCTGGACGGCGGCGCCGCGCGGCAGATGTGGGAGGGTCCCGCGCCAGGATCGGGCTCTCGAGCACGTGGGTCCTTGCCATCTCGCGAACGCTGCCACGCGGCGGCGAGGGCGTCGATGGTGTTGGACCAGGACTCGAGCTCCGACCTGTTCCTCGAGGGAGGATCGCCTGGGTTGAGTTCGTAGACGACCCACCTGAGATCCGCCGTAACATCAGCTCTGAGGGCCACTGCACAAAATTGCCGGACAGGTCGCGCGAGGCCTGGAGCCGAGGTGCGGCCCTTGAGCAAATCTAAAATAGAGACCATGCTGTCACTGATGATCAAGAATCTGTGAGACCTGTTCGATATAGATTTTGTCAGATGACGAATACACCAAACCAATGTGCGGCACTCCAAGGCGGTGATGTGTTCTCGGCGGTCCCATTTCTTACGATGTAGGATCCTCCAAGAGCCTCCCAAGAGCCCACGACTTTCGCCTTCCCCAGAGATCGGCAGGTTGGGCACGAGGCCCTCGTCGGCGAAGCTCAGCTCCAAGAACTCACCTGAAGGCAGCGCCCCGCCGAGAGCCTCCTCCAGCGCCCCCGTCCTGGCAGATCCCGAGGTCCCGTGATAGCGCCAGCGCTCCGAGTACTGCGAGAGGTCCCGAATCGTCCCCACGGAGAGGGACTTGTGAGCAACTCCTTTTCCCCACATCGAGGCGTCACACGCCAGGACCCTGGAACTGAACGGCTTGGCCAGATCATGGACGAGGAGGGGTAACAAAGACTGGATCCAGCGGAGCTCCCTAACGACCGACGGCCAGAACGGAGCAGAGTCCTCAGGGTGCTTAGCCATGAAAGCGTAGACCGCGTTGAGGCAACAAAGGGTTTCTCTTTTCACCAGCGCCATGGAGACAAAGTGTCCGACAAGCCGAGAAAGCTGACGTCCAGTCCCCTGGCGGCGCTCCAGTGCGTGAAAAAGTGCAAGCCATAGACGCCATACGCGGCGCCCCTTCGGCACAATACACCTATCATCTCGACGGAACTCCCAACCCAAGGCCTCGAGAACCTCTGGATCAAACCTCTTATCATGAACGATGAGACCCCTCTCCTCCATGATGTTGTTGA